GTCCGCTGGTCTTTGATATTACATGGCTAAAGTTGGGAAAGGTGAACATAATTTGCTCACAGGGTGTAGCATGCAAAAATTAAACTGCTGAATTTTCAAGTGGTTTTACAAATGCGTAGTGATTCTTAAGGTGAAATGAAAAAAAACAGATCAGTAATGGTAGGCAGGCAGTAATGTTCAAAACTTTCAGCGTGTTGAAATCCAAGTATTTTTTTAACCCTCAGGTCGCAATTGAGATGTCCACTGCTGAATCATTAGGCAGCACAAAGCTAATACACTTCCTCATTGTACTTCCCCACCTTCTTGTCCAAGTTCATTCTCAGCTGAAGATGTTGCATAACACGTTAAATCCACATTTTTGGCTTTCACACTTTTTAGCTTTGTACAATTTGACACTTTTTAGCAAAGTACAATTTGTGATCCATTTGCCAGTGGTCTTCAGGTGTGTTCCTGAGTGACGCATACAGCCCCAGTCTTCATTTCTTTATTAAGACTTGTTACAGAGGGCCTGTAGGGCTTACTTGGAGTGATGGAAAACTGCTCTGTGGGATTTGGAAGCTTGTGACCTAGGCAGTTAAACAAACCAGGATCCCGAGATGCAGGAGTGTGCGCGCTGAGTACTGATCTCTATACTTTGTTCACTCATACTTCTGAAGATCTGCAATTGCAACCTGCGCTACTATAACATTCCTGCAGCTTACTGTAGACACATTGCAGAGAATCCTTTGGGGAGTTGCAGGTTTTCTATGCATTGTGTGTAAGTAGCACCCTCTGTGAAACCTAGATGGGTCATGATTCCCTTGTGTTTGACAATGTTCTCCCCCCAGGAGGTTCAGGTGCGGTGATGCGGACGTTGCTCATCTGAGTGACGAGCGGCAGACCTCTGTCTGTTGCCGCTTCTTGTCTCTCGTGTGTCTTCAGCACGGCTCTGGTTGGCACTGAAAGGCAGCATGTGGGGGCTCCAACAGAGAGGATGCAGGGAAATGGGGGGTGGGAGTTGGGGCCCGGACACCGGCTGGACTGAGGTGCCCGGCATCCACCCGGAATCCGCCAGCGTGACAAACAGGCGCTTCCAGCTGTTCCCCAGCGCCCTGACTCGCCCCCCGGCTGACGCGCCTCGACAGCTGAAGCGGCCAGGAATAGCCGGTGCTGGGACACTTCCGCTGGCAGTGCCCCACCAGTGTCGAGGTGGGGGGCGGGGGAGAGGGTACCTCTCTCTCCCTGCCTTTGTCCGGCGATGCCTAGTCATTTCCAAACCCAGTGAGAGCGCGAGAGAGAATGGGAGGCGGCTTTCTTGTATAACGCAGAGCCATGGAGAGGCAGCTGCAGGGATGGCTGATGACAGTCTTGGATTACATAAGAGGGGCAGGCAGAGGTAATGGCATCGCGTTACACAGCCTTGTGATTACCGCTATCAGATCTCTCTTGGTGGTTTCTGAACTTCACCTGCCTTCCCCTTTTCACCGGCGCATTCTCCGATCCGTGCCAAAGCAGACGCTAGAGGATTTTCTTCCTCTGTGGGCCACCTCCTTCTGTTTTGGATCGGTTTTCAATTTTACGTTCTGAAAATGGCAGATAAACAAAAGCTTTCACTCTTCGTGGCTGGAGGAACAGGAGCCGGGAGGTGAATTCCTTGGCTGTGCGTAGGTCCCAGGGTTGTCTGAAAAGCACTGGATGAAGGAGCACCCTGTCAGTAGGGCTTTTACGAAGGTGCTTTTGCTGGAATAGTCAGGGTGGGTGAGGGAAATGGCAGTTGTAGTAAAAAACTGAGATTGTGTGGTGTTTGACAAAAGCACCTTTAGCACGGAGCGGTAAAAGATTGATGGCAGTCTAAGAAGTGTTCTGCTTTACAAGAAAACCGTCGGCGCCAGGTGCAGCCACGTCTTGTCCATTCTTGGATAGAACGACTTTGCTGGCTTCAGAGCTGGGTTAGTGAGGCAGCTGCACTGGCAGGAAGTATAATCAGGAACAGGGAGACCTAGCAGAGATCAGGAGGGCCAGGGCTGCACAGGAATCTGACTGGGATCCCTGAAGGAGTGCGTGCTGGACAGCTGTGTTCCACATCCGCTCTTCTGTCAATCCCCGCTACTGGTCCGGATCATCTCTCTCTCGCACACCAGCACCCCCCCAGGCTCCCCCTCCCTCCTCCCCGGTACAAGATTTAATTGCAACCGGCTCTGGTTGTTGGGTCAGGAGGAAATGCGGACTGGGGGTTGCGTTTGAAGTCCCCTCTGTCATAAAAAAAGCAAGAGAATTTGCTTTTTTGAGTCGAGACTCCCCCCCCCACCCCTTACAAGGCTCCCAAGGGGCTCTGCTGTGGTTGGGTTCAGCTGGCACTGCGCTCCTCGGCCAGCCAGCAGGAGGACTCCCCCGGGCTGCCTTGCCAGACGCTGAATGTGCCAGACGTTGCCGGTGTTGGCATGGCTGGGGGTTGGCTGGATTTCCCTGGATTTGCCAACAGGCACTCGAGGCTTGCCGACTGCTCCAGGCCTGGCAGTGACATCGGCAAGAAACGCGCTTCCGGTCCCAGGAGAATGGCAGGCGTACGGAAGCTGGGAGTCGCAGGCGGCTGGCTTGATCGATTAACAACCCACAATTTCCAAAATTGTCTGGACGTTAATTACCCCCCATCCGACTGTTGGTTTTCTTTCGTCTGTTTACAGAGTGTTCTCGTTCCTAAAATGTCTCCCTTTGGGAAATTGGAGCGGCATGTGCAAAATCCGCATCGAGTGGAACCTGTGTTTATGTGCCGTCTCGTGCCATGAACTGTTTAAAAGTATCTTTCCAAACTGGCAGTCCCTCTGGGCTCTTCAGGGCTCCGGAGACATCAGGCATCATGTGGCAATAGTAGTTCAAGTAGGTAGCTTAGTCAGCATACGTAGGCGGCAAAGGAACAAGTTAAGGTTTATTCCATGCTGAAAAGAAAAAAGAGAGAACGTTTCGGCCATGGAGTGTGTCACACCCATAGAAGGCTCCACAGCCGAACCGTTGTGTTTCTTGTCTTCTCTTTTCAGCACGGAACGTTTATGTGCTCCTTTGCATCATATGGCAATAGTTAACTCCTTGGGTCTGCCGGAGTTGTGGTGCAACAGCGCCACCTGGCCGCCACTGTTTGTAACTGGTTCCTCCTCTTCTCTTTGCAGATAATCCAGTACCAGACTGTGCGTTATGACACGTTACCTCTCTCCCCCATCTCCAGAAACAGATTGAGTAAGTATAACTCTGCGTCTCCACAGGTTGGATATCGGCATGAATGCCAACCTGCACCCCCCACCCTGCTCTGCCTTTGCGTGCCGAGCCTGGCTCTTGGCCTGAATATGCGTGTGTATGTTCTCGCGCAGACGCAGTGAAGAGGAAGATCCTGGTGCTAGACCTGGACGAGACGCTCATCCACTCGCACCACGACGGCGTCCTGCGGCCCACAGTGCGGCCTGGCACGCCGCCTGACTTCATCCTGAAGGTGAGCGGCGTCCCCCTAGCCTGTCTGGTGGTCCCCAGTCTCTGGAGTGAGCCAGGGGGCTGTGCAGGCTGGCATTTACACACAGTAGAAATGCCTAACGATTTACTGGGTTCTGTAGGTTTTCTGATCAGTTTAAAGAAGGGAGGCCGTGCTTTGAATGAAACAGTGGTGGCATTATACACTGAAATATTTAGACCGGCAGGGGAATGGGGAAAAAAAATCCATCTGCTATACGGCATGTAATATTCTTGGCTTTTTAGATTGCAGGCTTGATCAGCGTTTAGGCTAATGTAAGTTAGGCATTTACATCCGTGCAGCTAGCTGCCCGTTCTCTCTTTGTGCTGCTCTGTCCTGGTGGCTGCGCGGACGGTCACATCAGGCCCAGCTCCTCAGCCGAGGAGACGCCGTGCGGACTGGGGGGAGGGGAGCCTGCAGTGGTTTTAACGCTGGGAGCCCCTCGACGCCCTGCAGGTAGAAGGACGGGGTCTGCAAGCCGAGGGGTTGCGAATGGAACGCGGCCTGTGACCGTGACCTGGACCTGGTTCATGCTGGGGACGCTCTAGGAAAGTCACTTGGGGGTCTCCTGCAGCACCGTTGTCAACCAGCTCTTAAAGCATTGGACAGGATTACACATTTGCACCAACCTCGTCCCAAGAGCCGGGTTTCAGAGCTCTGCTCTTTGAGGTCTGCTTTTCCAGTTAACAGGCGTTTTGTATTTTAGACAGTATCCTGTTTGTCTTGTGTCAGAGATTTCCCATCTGCCTGCACAGCATTCATCAGTCACCTATTAAGGACTGTAGAATTTGTCATAGAAAGCAAAAAAGCCCTTTTTGATCAGAGTCCTGTTTGCTGAATGTATTGGCTGCTGTAAGCCAGCAGCCCTGTGTTTCTGAAAGCCAAGAGTGCCAACTGCAGAAAAAACCTGCAAAAAACTAGTCCTTTGTGTAATTGAAAGCTGAATTAATGAACTAATCTGTTGCAACACAAGTCAAGGAGTAACAAGGAAACACTTGGGAAGGGTTCCTGAAAATTAGGTCTATTCCTTTTTAACACTTGTTCCCAATCTGGGTCCTGAAGGACCACGGACCTGCTGGTTTTCATTCCAGCCTAGCTTGATTACCCAGTTAAAGTCTTAATTGAACTAGCAAGATGCTTGAATAGAATATTTAGTTAATTTCCAGGACCAGGATTGGGAACCTGAAAATCACTGACTGACCTGTCATGACTCCTTGTCTATCCCTGTGATATAATGGCAACCTTTATATGTTTAGTGGTTCAAAAAGATCGCAAGCAGGTAAGAGTGCGTTGAATGGAACATGTTTGCTCAGGGATGTACTTAGCATATCTCATCTTGGCATATCTCAGTTTTAAAGTTTTGATTGAAAACATTTTCAAATATTGTTTGCACCCAAGTCTGGTACTTTGTTAAAAAAAACTACAGGAGTTAGAGGAGTCTGCCCTAAACGTTCTGCAGCTGGAATATGGGCTCTGACTGCAGTGATGAGGTTTTCCTCTAGGACTGTGATGAGTAAAGGGCACCTACCTGTTCACTGAACACTTCAGAAATGTTTTAAACAAAAGGTGAAAATGTTATAGTGTGTGGAAGTGATGTTTCTAACTTGGTTATTGAAATGAGATTGAAGTTGGCTTTGCTGAATGAGCAATTACGTAAGAAACCAGGGCTGGTGGTTTGCTCAGCTTCTTTGCGGGAGGCGATGTGGGTGGCATCAGTAGAGTGCATGCTGTGCCCCTTCTGAAAGCCCATCTACAATGGCGGAAGGCGAAAAGGTCTCTTCTCTCTGTTGCTTCACCCTTTCAGCTCTCCCAAGGTTTCTAAATAGCATGCGTTTAAAAAAGGACATTGTTGCAGTGGCATTATTTGCAGGAACGCTGTTCTCTTTTGTAACAGTGGTTCTTGCAATAGTGGAGTAGGTGCCTTGTGGGTCAGTGAGGATTAACACCACACTGAGGTCTTTTTTTTTGTGATGTTAAGCCTCTGGTTGTCTCTCTCTTCTCTCTGCCCACGTAGGTGGTAATAGACAAACACCCCGTCAGGTTCTTTGTACATAAAAGGCCGCATGTCGACTTCTTTCTGGAAGTGGTGAGTAAGACTTCTGTCTTGTTTGATTTCCTAATTTCAGGTGAGATGCGAGTTGGACCTGCTGCGCTGGCCCATGGATTGTGTTTCTGTGCAGATCTGGCTGCAGCTTCTCTCAGCCCTGTTCTAATCCAAGGCTGAATGATTTGATCATTTTGTTTAGGAACATAAGAATGATTAGAAACGAGAGGAGGCCAATGTGCCCCTCTGACCCGTTTGGTAGTGAGTAGTTAATTGATCCAGTGATCTCATCCAGCTGGCTTCCTGAAATAAGCCAGGGTATCAATGTCAACAAAATGGCTGGGTAGCTTGTTTTGTACCACCACCCTACTGTAAAAGTAAAGATGTGCCTACTGCCCTTAATCTAATTAAGTCATTAGTGTGATTGAGAGATCAATTAGCGTTAATCATGAAGAAGTCGTTTAGGACAGATCAGGAGTCATTTGAGAAGGGTTCCTGGAGGATCGCATCCAGGCTTTTCTTCCAGGCCATTTCCTTATTCTCTCCCTCTCTTCATCTCAGGTCAGCCAGTGGTATGAGCTGGTAGTCTTCACAGCCAGTATGGAGATATATGGCTCAGCAGTAGCTGACAAACTAGACAACAACAGAGGAATCTTGAAACGGAGATACTACAGACAGGTGACTCCCTTCTCTGTCTGTCTTTTCTATCTTGTTTTTGAGTGCGGCATGTCTTTACTTACTTTACTTTATTGTCCCAGATGGGAAATTTGCTTTTTAGGCAGGTAAAAATGTAATTCAATACACAACACTTTTAACACAACATGAAACCATTAACAAAAAAGAGACATGAGACATGATGAGAAGAAAAATATATAAGTAAAGCGAGATTAACAGGCAATTGTCCAAATTGAGCAGGTTAATAGCTATGAGAATAAAACACGACTCCGTTCAAAAGCTCTTGAATCTAGGCAGTATAAATTCATGCCCTGATGGCAGGAGGGCAAATTCACTGTGCAAAAGGCGGTCGTGACAGTCTGTGATGATATTGGACTTCCGCACTGTTTGCTTGTCGGTGACTATTTGCGTCCAAGTGTGTATACGACCCAGGCCTGCATTGCATTGTACAGGATTTTGGTAGTTTATCTCTCTGTACGCTTGATCTCACTGTCTCTCTCCCCCTCTCTCCCTGCAGCACTGTACGCTGGATCTAGGTAGTTACATTAAAGACTTGTCTGTGGTCCACAGCGACCTTTCCAGCATTGTCATCCTAGACAACTCTCCCGGGGCCTACCGCAGCCACCCAGGTGAGAGCGCACCCTCTTTCTCCCCAATTTCTCCAGCCTCTCTGGGCTTTCCCACATTTGAGTCAGGGTGCGCTTGTAACCTTCTCCGGCCAGGACTAAAAAGATTGAGGTCTTTGAGCCTGTGGATGTAGTTGGACTTTCTTCTCCAGACTGATTCCAGAGTTTCTCTGTAATGTGGTAACTATTATTGTGCCTAAGGACTTACTAGTGAATTGCACAATTAGCACTAGTTGTTTGTCATTCCTTCCCCCAAAAGATAAAAGCGCAACATACGGTAGATACCCTTTTAAAGCTCAGCGGTTCCCATCGAACGTACAGTATGTAGTTTTTCTGCTACTTGCATGTAACACTATGTACAGTACCTATCTTTATAATAAAAATAATAAAAATAATAATTATGGAACAAGTAGTAGGTTTATTCCATGCTGAAAAGAGAAGAAAACAACATTTTGGCTATGGAGCCTTCTTCGGGTGTGAGCATGCTGACGCAGCTACCCGCCCGAACTAATAATAATGATTATTGTTGTTGTTGTTGTTATTATGATAAAATTGTATTGTATGTAAGGCCATTAAAAGTAGCTTCTCAAAAGTGCTTTACAGTAAGAAAAAAGTGCACAATGAGTGGAGACAGCAGGATTACACAATTTCAGTAAGGGTTTGGAATATAGTAAGAAAACAAAAGGGGCAGACATGTAACCACCTAAATAAAATCCCTTCTGAAGAATCAAGTTTTCAGTCTTGATTTGAGAGTGCTCAGTCAGGGTGACTCTCTGATATCCTTAGGGATAGAATTCCAGATCTCTGGGGCGCAGCAGATGAAGCTGCTAGGTATTTTCCCAATTTTAAACTTTGTCTCAATCTTTTGGCAACTACAGTTTGCTGATCCTTCTGTTTTGGTATCATCCATGTACTATTTACCTGCCTACACCAGAATCTAAAACCCTGCTCTAAATTAGGATCAGCATTAGTCCTGATGACTGATGACATCTTTCCCAATTTGACTGCTTACCCTTTATCTGTACTCTCCATTTTCATCCATTACTCAGTTCTCTGTTCAAAGACAAGTTGAGCTTGTGCACTGCTGCCCGCACAAAAGAGAGGTGGCAAGGAGCAGAACTGGCTGCAGGGAGCTGTAACAGCATTACAGTAAAACCCACTGTAGGAGAGTGATGCTGGAGCACCTACTGTCTCCGCTCTCCGATGATCGAGGTAATATTTGGTCCATTTTTCCATGCTAACCTGTGTCCGTTCTACCTTCCAGACAATGCAATTCCTATAAAATCATGGTTTAGCGACCCCAGCGACACAGCACTTCTGAACCTCTTACCTATGCTGGACGCGCTGAGGTAGGTAATTCCAGAGCCTGTCTTTGGTTGATCCATGTGTCCTGAGATCCAGCTTTGTGCCCATTGGAAAGGGTTCAGCCTGAGATCAGATCTGTCATCAGGCTCTTATAGGGAAATTAAGTATTGATCTTAACTATCTGGGCCTGTGTCTTTGAAAGTATGCTTTTGTAGGCAGTGGCACCCATTAAAATTGTGTCTGAGGTTTAAACCATTACTACGTAAATTACATGCAGATTTCAGTAAAAATCAACAAGAATGCACGGATGATCCAAGAGAACATGGTTGTACTATATAGAAGGAAAAAAATAGTTCCTACAGTTCAATTTAAATTGGTCTGCAAACTTCTCCATTCACCCCAAACAGATTGTTTCAAAATATCTGGGATTTATCATTGTATTTCCAAATGATAAAGAAACGTTTCTTTGTGTCACTTGGTGCCATTTCCTTTAGTTTTGTATCAGCGTTAGGTTTGACCTGCTAAACTGCCTATAAAGTTGAATTTGATCTGCTTGCCTGTGGATGATGCACTGGCACTGTTAATGTTTTCCAGCATTTTCAGCATCAGTGGGTTAATTTCTCCCTGCGCAGCAGAATGAAAACTGCAGACACTGGGAGGGGCGGATGGTGGTGGTGGTGGGGCGGGTTGTTGGAACAAATCTTGCACGCTAGGCATTCAGGTGCTGCTGCTCTTTCTGATCACTCCTCTCCCTCTGTGTCCCGACGGAGCAGGTTCACTGCAGATGTCCGATCCGTCCTCAGTCGAAACCTACATCAGCACCGGCTCTGGTGATGGGTCGTCTCCCGCCTGGAGGGGTAGTCCCTCCTTGTTTCGTCTCGCCGGACCCCGCCTCTCAATGACCTCCTAGCGAACCCTTCATAAGACCCCCCCCCCCAACCAAGCACCGGGAGGGGAGAAGGCATACATGGAGGGGGGGCTCTGGAGGGGAGAGTGGGGGGTGGTGTGTGGGTGACTCTGGAGGCCATTTTCTGACATTGAACCTCTGCCTTACAACTTGCTTCCCCTTGGGGCGTGTGTGTGACTGTATGTATGCCTGTCTGTTTTTTTTTTTTCCTCGAGCAGTTCTTTTTAAAGATGAAAGAAAGAAATCCGTGAAGCCAGCCTCCCTTGTTCCCCTCCTGCGTTCTCTCCATCACCCCCCCACCCCAGAGCCCCTGGTCGCTCTCAGCAGAGATCCCCTGTTCCTGTCCCCCACGCAGAAATGACAAGTTGCTGGACTCTTTCAAAAGCAACTAGCCTGGGTTATTGACTTTACAGGGGAGAAGGCGGGATACCGAGAATGGTTTTTTTTTCCTAACTGGATCACGTTTGAGAATGGGAGATTTAGGGATGTCTGGGGGTGTCGGAGGCAGAGGTTGAGGGACAATAACGGTACAACACTTTTGAGGAGTCCAGTTGTATTTTTACTGGAAGGAAGGCGAGGCTGGGGAGCCCTGGGATGGAGGCAATGGGCCGGAACCATACAGGCCACAGTGGACAGATGGACAGATTGATGGCTTGTTGCCACCTCTGGGCTTGATCATATCCTTTGCGATTTCCTTTGCACGTTCTTCAACTCCTCCTCCTCTCCCTCCCTCCACATCTGATGCATTTGCTCGGCCAGCAGGGTACAGGGATCTGCAGAAAGAGGCGCCCAGAGGGAGAGAGCTGGAAACGGACAATGAAATGTTTTAACAGACGACGAAAGAGGATTGTCCTTTGCTGGTCTTGTTCAGTCCATCAAAGAAAGTCAGTCATTTTCTCCTGTTTTTTTTATTCCTGTTTTGTGCTGGGGGGAAAGGAGCAGAGGGGTACATTGCTAAAATAGCTACCCTACCAAGTCCCCCCCCCACCCCCTAGAGAATGGGCTTGTGCTCCCTTGCCCTGCATCTTGCAGAAGCCATAGCTCACTGGAGGCCCTTCATCTTTGATCTCAATTTTTGACTGGAACTTAAAGATTATTTTTTATCAAACCATTTGAGAAATCCTACATAACCGCAGTGCCCTCCCCCAGTGCCCCACCCTTCCCTCTCTTACTAGGGCTGACACCTGGCATCCAATTCCAGGATCCTATTCTACAGGAAATGAACTTCTAGTTACCCCTAATGCTTTACCCTTGGACCTTTTTTTCTCCTTAATTGCAATAGGGCAGCACTACAGCACTGTCATTTTTAGGAAATAAAATTCATGTGGATAATTTATCCAATTTTTTTTATGGTGCTGTTAACCTAAATTTTATATTTGCCTGCCGATGACTGACATGCAGCCTTTGTCTGCACGGCCCCCTGGTTCAGATCGGTTGATTGGCAGAAAGGAGTACTACATTGAATACTAGAGACCATAATAAGTTTCAGATGTTGCCATCTGGTTTGCAAAGAGAGCTTTAAAGGCGCCATAATCAGATTTTTTTCTGTTGTCACCCTTGTTCAGGAACCCTGTCCCGTTTGCAGGGGTTCTGGGGTTGGGTGACCATTTGTCAGTCCTGCTACCTCTTATCCCCAGTACACACCTCAGATATGCCCCAGATTGTGCCAGTTGAACAGTTTAGTCTCAGCAGGCTACAGGGGGCATCTTTTATGGCTCAGTGCCCAGATCTCTACGTGTTACTAATAAAACACTCTTCGGTATCGCTGACATTTCTTAGGTGTGTTTTATTTTTATTAAACGGCAACAAATCCAGTGTTTAGTCAGCTAGAACGAGTGTGACCAATTTTGGTCCTTAGAGACTCCATTACGCAAACCTTTGGTGTCTTTTTGGTGTCATCTCTTTGGTTAGTTTTTTCACATTCCAACACTCTGGAACACAACAAGAAGAGCATTGTAATTCACCATTATATCTTTACAGACTTCTTGTGATCAATTAAAATAGGTTATTAGACTGCAGTTCATTTGGAAAATAAATCTGAATGCTCTTCAGCTCCTTAACTAATCATATATAATCATAGATGCACAAGTGATCAAATTTTTGATAATTTCCCCTTAGCCCTTACCAATCATGGCCTCCTAATAATCCCCATCTATGAATTGGCTTCATTACTCTGCTCTCCTCCCCACTGATAGCTGATGTGTGGTGAGCGTTCTGGCGCACTATGGCTGCCGTCGCATCATCCAGTTGAGGGCTGCACATTGGTGGTGGTGGAGGGGAGTCCCCATTACCTGTAAAGCGCTATATCAGTGTAAGCAATTATTATTATTATTATTATTATTATTATTATTATTATTAAATGATGTATTGGGTTTTCCAGAACCAGCTAGTACTCAAGACCCATGGAGTAGTGTGTTAAATAGTCTCTTTCTCAGGGGGGAAATTAAAGCAGTCAGACTTTGATATGTTTGCTTTGGTGATGTAACTACCAAATTCCTAATGACAAACTATTTGCTTTAGGAGAGCTACAGCATTCACCAATTCAAGAAACGAAGACTGCATTCACTAATTGTACCTAAATACATATTAGAACAGTCTGCATTCAGATAACGAATATATGTTGTCACAGTTTCCATTTACACATTACAAATTGGTGATACATCGACGATGACGGAAATTTCCATTGACTCCTCCCCAATGACTCTTCTGTTACCCGGAAGTTTTTTTCACATCATGAGACTAATGATGTCACAATCACGACGTAGTCACATGATTAGTCTGCGACTCCCAACCACCCTCTCGGGCCACAAATGTGTCCTTCCGCTTTGCTCGTAATAGGAAAACGGGCACTGGAGTCAAAACAAAATAGATCCCGACAAAAACAATAAGTGACAATTACAAATAAGTGTCGTTGTGACGGTAGCTCTTTATTGACTTTTAAATCAATTTGAAAAAATACGTCATTATCGAGCAGAAAAATACTGGTTTTACGACGGCGTTTAGGAATTAGGTTGTAAAAGGATACGTTGTCATTTAACGTAGTTGTTGAGAAAAACACGACATTTCGAAATTAAAAACGTTCTGTTCACGCAGGTTAAGCTATGGGAGCAGTTTCCAGTTTCCACCAGCACAATCGTCAATTTAAACGTTTTTCTTATCAGTCGGGGCGGGTCAGTCCTATCTTTTAATATCATTTTTAGCTGGACTTGCGTGTTGCGCAATAGCAATAACAACCACCTCGCCAGCTCTGCAGTTTCCAAAGAGCGAATCCCGGTTCTGAAACTTTGTAGAAAAATCAAACAGTTCATACGCACACTCGAATGAAAACAAAACATCTGAAAAGTTATGACTTTTTCTTGAGCTCAGACCCGTTCAACGCAGTTTCAAAATCAATGCAAGAAAAAAAACTGCGCCTGTTGAACTTGCTGCAGGAATAGCGCAACACCGTCCCGTAATCTCCGTTTGCGTGTTTTCATCTCCCTTCAACCTCACGGATTGCTACGTTACCAACAACGCGCAGTTTCTCTTTGAGAATACTACAACAGCGTAAAATGATGGGGGGGGTTGTACACGTACGTTTTCTACGTAAAGCACGGGGACAGTCCTCCGAGGTGAACGGCGGAGGGGCGTAGCGGGGTTTGCAGAATTCGGCTGGTTGGCTCATGCGGCGCTGCCTGTGTTGTTATCGCACGGTATCCCTCCGCCGCTGCAGTGTTGAAAGCAGCGAGAGCTCCCGAACTCAGCGACCAGGTAGCGACGCGAAACAACCTCGTCTTCACCTAAATTTCTCTAGACTTGATCGGACTGAGCTCAGTCCCGGTTCGACTATGAAGTTTCAGTACAAAGAAGAACACCCGTTCGAGAAGAGGCGGTCGGAGGGAGAGAAGATTAGGAAGAAATACCCCGACCGGGTGCCAGTAAGTACAGTAACGGCGAATGACAACTGTGTAAAGGCAGGCGAAAACTGGCGCAGGCCTGGGTGTCCGATGAGGACAACAGTATTTAGATCTGGGGCCCGAAGCAGGCATGGTTCATCCAGTCAGCAGAAACCGCTGGCCATGAAGTTATTAGGGATCTGCTGAGACTGGGGTGCGATTTCGTCCCAGGACTTTGGTTTTTTTTCCTGTACGTCTGATCATTTTTATAGGGGTCCTGCAAAAGTGGGTGGGAGGGGACTGTTAAGACCTAAATTTAAATAACACCCCGATATCGTCGAAGATAGCGAGAATAGAGAGCTGCGTAACAGTTCTGTTAAAGCGTTTTTGTTTTGAAAGCCGCCCTGCATAGCAGATGAACCCTACGTCGGCACTATCACCCTTTTTGTTAACCCAATTTTCTTGTTTTACAAGTTAGGGTCTCACCGTGTAACCGATGACCTCATGAATCAGTTTCCCCGAAACAGGCGCCCCGAATTATAAACCCCGGCTCTCTCTGCCACACGTCATCTTGTTTCTATCCAAATCGGTGCAGGCGAGCTCGAGTGTTCAGCTAAGAGAACATCATAATTTCTTCATGGGAGAAAAACAACAACAACAACAACAACAAAGCGTGTGGAGCAAAAGACAACCTTACTCCAGTGAAAATGGAACTTCTAAAAGAAACTTTTACTGGGGAACTTCAAAATATTAGAGCTCTGGGCCTTAAGTGTGGGACCTGGATTTGGAATAAGAAGGCTTCAGTTCGGTTTCCATGCCGGTTTGATGTGTGATGGTCAGCTTTTGAGAGATGACATCTGAACGGTGATTGACGGTTGTCTCGTTCTGTAGCCTTCCTCTCGCATCTGAGCTGAATTTCTCGGAAAAATCCCGTTCGGGTCGCTGTTCCCTCGCCTGCTGTGATCCTCCCTGATCAGCGGCGCCGACAGGGGAGTTTACAGTGAATCAGATGAGGGGTTACCGAGGTGTGCATTTCTTTTTTGGGAGTGACTCTGGGGTGGAAAGAATTAACCCTACATTCACTGCCTGGCCCAGAGAACCACAGCCCACCAGGTTGTGTAGGTAGTAATCGGTACTCAAGAGCAGGAGCAGGCAGTAGTACTGATTGATTAAGCGAGCTATTGATTATAGATGAAGGAAGAGTTCAGGATCAGCAGTGAGTATAGGTGGGACTGGACCAAGTGGAAACGAGAGGGTGCAGATTATTTAATCAAACTCTGTAGTCCTTGTAATGCTGCTAGGATGATCAATGACCTTGAGAGAGGCCGAGTTAAGTATTTTATCAAAGTTTCCCCTCCTCTTATTTCAAAGCTCGTAATGGCTAAGTTCGGAAGCTCATTTGAGCTCGTAATGGCTAAGTTTGATTCATGAATGATTCGCTTGGACCCCCAGTCGATCGATGTTCCCGGTCCCTCGCAGTGCTGGTGCTTTGAGGAGACCTGTGAAACCTGGGCTGATCGTGATTCTCCCTGCTGCAGGGCCTGGAGATCCTCATTTCTGCCTTGTGCTGCCAGCAGGGCTGTCTGAAAGCCATGCTGTGCGCAGTCGGCGGTGGCTCACCAGTGAATGCAGCTTTTAAACTGCAATTCTGCCACTGCAGCATCCAGCCAGCCTGCGTTGCAGATTGCACAGCTCTCCATGTCAAAAACTTGCAAAGGTCCATGGCAGGTGCATGGTTTTTTGCTGTCCGTTTATCTATTGGGGGGGGGGGGAGGAAAAAAGTGATTTAATCTGATCGTCTTAAATGGGAAGTAGAAAACCTTAATTCTGTCCGTGTGTAGCTGTGTATTTTGGTGTTTTGCTCAAAATGCATGATCAAATTGATCCAGTGGCCCCAAGTTAACATCTGCAGACGACGGCTTAATAATATGTTTAATGTTGGCTGCACTCGGCGGGAGTGAGTCAGACTTGTAGGAGGGGAGCACTTTGCTCAGACAAACCTCTTCTGGCTGAAAACCTTATACACCAGATACAAACTGCTGCAGTGAACCAGCCATAGACTATACTGATGGCTCGATGCCCTCTGCCTTAATATTTACTTAGTGGTGATAGTTTGAGATAATGCCTATCGTGAGTTTAATTTCCATGCAGCCTAGTCAGGTTTATAGAGGTTTCAATCTGACGAGGCCTGTAGTTGAACGTACTGTAGAAACGCAGTATCCTTGTGAAAATAATCCATTGCTTTCAAGACAAGAGACTCTGCAGGGCAGGTGGTCAATGTGAATTGAAGTGGCAGTGCTATCTGTTAAGTGACCAGCTCATCCAGTCCAGGCTCATCGTTGCTCTCCTCCTGCCCAGAAGGTCCCGGAACAGGGCTGTGTGGCTTTTAAAAAGACGGACTGAATTGTGAGAGTATAGAGGGGGGGGTTTCCTCACTTCCTCTTCTCTCTGGTTGGCTTTGCTTTTCCCAGAAAGGAGAAGTTTGATGGAGGTGAACGGGTTTCACTGCGTTTTTTCTGCGGTTGTCGGTAGTGAGCTGTGGTGCGTTCTGCGAGAGAGGAATGGAAAGTATCCTTCCCCACCCTCATGCTAGTATGCCTACCAACCAGTCAGATCCTTTCTAACAGAGTCATCTAGCCTTTCCCACACATTCTCAGGAGTGTAGGGTTTGCATGCCACCCTCAGGTGTGTGTTCTAACCTAACATATCCACTTCTTCAAGATGGGTTCTTTCTTGCTCAGTTTGCAAAAATCTGCAGCCCAAAATAAGAGGAGATTGTAGCCAAATGTCCTGGAGGCCGATGCTTTGAGATCCTCCAGTCAGCCACTAGGAAATAAGCGAGCTAGATGGGTTAACTGTCCTCATCCTGCGCGTTTCTGTAAGGCGCTGTGCACGATTCCCTGTTTTCTGGGCTGTTGCCTGTGAGCAGACCATTGGGCAGTTGGTAGCCTCTCAGTTTCATTCATTTCAACAGACAGACACAGACAGACACAGACAGACACAGACAGACACAGACAGACACAGACAGACAGCTGTTCTGTTTATTATTATAGAGCTTCCTGCACTGCATTGTGTGTTGTTATAATCTTCTTGCTGGTACTGCAGTGTTCATTCATTTTGCTCTGCAGTAGTCCATGCAGCCTGGTGACCTTTTCATTTCTTATGACTTGAAGAGGGGCTCCCTTCCAGTGCCTGTATTCACAAAGCCCTGATCATTTCCCTGTTTTTTTGCCACTCTGGTGATTTCTGCAGCTCTGTACCCTGCCTTAGGTGCAGGTTAAAGTTTAGCCACGGATTGGTGTCAATTCCTTGATGTCAGCTCTGACTGGCTTGTTCTTACAGTTTCGGGGATCTAGAGTTTGAGCACAGGCGGTTCTGAAGGCCACCAGATCTGAGCGTCTTGATTCCTGGAGGCTTCCTCCTTGGCATTTGGTTTGTCCTCTTTTACTTGTGTTTTCTGTCGCAGTGCTTTGCCCTGGAAAGGGTCAGTTTCTCTCCGAGCGTGGGCTGACCTCTGTTTTTTGCTTTTCCTTTATTTCCCTGGGATTCCCAAGGCTGCCGTTCTAATTAGAAAGTTTGCCAGTAGACCCGGCACATTCCTGCAGGTTCTAGACGGAACTGCCCTAAAAATAGAGCTCTGGGTGATCATGAGGGCGCAGTGGAGAGGATGAATGAACAAAAATTAGATTAACTCCTTCTTGGAGAAGAGTGTCAGTTTTACAAAAGGATTGTTATTGTGGGAATCGGTCTTCAGCTCCTGCAACTTCTAAAACGGCCTGATCCCGAAGACTTCAGATGGATTTCCTGCTCATCTGGAACACTTGGACTGTTCTGGGTTCTATAAAGACAGCAGTTCCCTCATGGTGTGCCTGTGTGTGAATTTTTGGGTTGCTAAGACTGAGGTATCAAACCAGCCAGCTAGCAGGAATCCTCTCTTTAGTCAATTTAAGTTCCAAGCTGGATTTTCAAGGTGACAGATCAGATTGTTGCACAGTGGTCTTGTCCAGTAGATGAAATGGTAACACCAGTTAATGTAGTCAGTTGGGGTATTAACCCTTAGGAAAGGCATTACTGTAGGTCCTGATGTCTCGTGCTGCTTGCTCTGTCTTTATATGCAATTTTTTCTCTTGTGTTTTTAGGTGATTGTCGAAAAAGCCCCAAAAGCCAGGATAGGAGATCTGGACAAGAAGAAGTACCTGGTGCCCTCTGACCTTACAGGTGAGAAGACTTCCTGTCTGTGGCCAGAGTGGAGGCCTCGGGGTCGGGCCACTGTGGTGTGACTTCCTGGCTCTCTGAGCGTCGGGAAGGTCCAGGTGGCACACCCTGACAATCGGGCATGGCTACAGCCATCGCCAGCACTCCTGAGCACTCCGGAAGCAAGCAGTGCGGGCGTTTCCGAGATCGGCACGGTAGCTGTGGGGACAGGCAATGGCAGCGTTTTCGAAGAGAGGTGCAGTGCCCGACGTGAGACTGCAAGGCAGCAGGCCCTCCACCTGCCAGAGGGCAGTTGGTAAAACAGCCTGCCTGCCTTGCCCACTGAGGGGAGGCACTGCTGTCAAAACGCCTCCCATCCCTTTGCAGGCTGGTGATGTGACTTGCCTTTGCAGTTAGTGGATTTTAGCTCCAGCACTCCTGTGATGTCCTTGTTATTTTACTGTGCTGGGCTATGTTTCCCACTTTCAGGAGTTCCACAGGGTGCCCGGCTGTCGTGGAAAGGATTCTGCTCCTTCAGTGTCGCGGGCTCACCTTGAGCAGCTCCGGTTCCTGCTGCCTTGTCATATTCCTGTTTTGAAGTGTGTTGAGGTGGCAGACTGCTGTGGGTTAACTGGCTGTGTTCCCCCTTTCCCAGTGGGCCAGTTCTACTTCCTGATTCGGAAACGGATCCACCTGCGGGCTGAGGACGCTCTCTTCTTCTTTGTCAACAATGTCATTCCCCCCACCAGCGCCACCATGGGCCTGCTGTACCAGGTACGCCCCCCGCCTCCTCTCTCGCTATGTCTTGGGTCTGTTTATCTTTGCTCCATGCTGGGTGTCTTGTGTCAATTTCTCCTTTACTCTCCTACTTGCTGTGGTATCGGATGCACAGTGTCTGCTGTGTAATACTCCCCAGTGCTTCTGACCAGTCCCAGCTGGACACCTTTTCCTCATTTCCTGCTCCGTCTTGGTAACTAGCTGTAGAAGGTGGGGTAAACTAGCTTAAACCTTTTGCCTCCTGGACTGTGTAACCTTATGATTCCCTGTGCCCCTTGATCCTGGACACCTGAACTGCCGCAAATGTCACAACGGTTTTTTAATTGTTGCCCCTTGTGGCAGCTGTTGGCATTGCAGCGTCTTGCTGTTAGCCCCTAGGTGAACTGTACTGCGGCTGTGCTCTGTGGGGGCTTGTGCCCCTCAAGACTTTAACGCTGGGTCTGTTCTCTCTTCTACGGCAGGAGCACCACGAAGAAGACTTCTTCCTTTACATTGCGTACAGCGATGAGAGCGTATATGGCGGAGGAGTGACTGAAATGTAACAGCCAAGACGCCCTCTGACCCCTCTCCCTTTCCCTGTGTACCCCGACCTCCCCTTCCTGACTGGAGCAGCAGTCTCGTGTCCTGAGTAGAGACATCAAAGCACTTTTCACTCCCCTCCAGCTTTCAATGACTTCTTTATGGTTCTAATTATTATTGTTCTTGTAATTATTTTGGTGGTTCAATTTCTTGAGCTCTTGTCAAGCCCTGTTCAGGTTTTTTTTTTTTTTGGTTTGTAATTCCTAACTCTGTAGCAGTTGGCGTTTTCCACTTGCGACCATTATAAAAGTGGCAAAAAAAAAAATGGATTTGATTTTCCGCTTTCTTTTCTGTTTTGTTCTTTTATTAATGAAGATGCAAAGTCTTGATGTGTATATAGACATTAAACATACATGACAGTCTGGAGTGTGTGACGAGAGTTTGCCAAGTAAATTTAGGTATAAACTAAAGGTCCCTTTTTTCTCTTTGTGTTTTTGCCTGGCTCTGGGTTGTGTGTTTTAAACCGGTCGGTGCCAAAAGTAAATCTGTGTCATCGTCAAATTTGGGAACTGGTTTTCAAGTGCAGTCCTGTTCCTCAAGTGCCCCATGTAAATGTTGCCACAGGTAGTAATGATCAATTGTAGGATTTCCAGTCTGTACCCCTTCCTGTCTCTTCTTCGTATCATACTTACTTGCTATCCCCCATTGCTTGTAACCACACATTTTCGTGCTTGTGATAATGAGTGCTGTGCTCTTACTGTATCCTTTTAAAAAAGGAAGGGGACAAAGTTAGTTGGAAAGGGTACTCCCTTCTTGCAGCGAGATTGCTTCACTGTCTTACTTGCGCGTCGCTGAGGGGGTAAAAGAGATCTGTTGAACTGAAGAGGACTGGAAAATCACCAGATGAGGTGACCTCCAACAATTCACCTGCTTGAGCATCAGCTGAAATCTTTGTGACTTGGCAGGTATTCAAGGCAAACGTGTGTGGTTTCTAGCATAGTCTTGGAGCCCAGAGTCTGCTTTTCAAACTGGTAAAACTGAAAGAATAAGCCAATGACGAGTTGAGAGGAATACCAATTTTTAGAAATGGGCAGCATGAAAGGAACAGATTTTGTTGGCCCTTTTCCCTGCATTTTCTGCTTCCTGGAAATAAAATGCTATGGCTATTTTTTTTTTATGAAGTCTTGAACAGCTCCCAGGAAGGCTGACATGTCAGAAGTGATTAAAAAAAAAAGTCAATATCTGGGTACAACATGGAAGTTGAGCCAGGCTGCCTGCATCTTTCCTTAAAATGGTCTGTGAAGCACCTACAGTTTATTTTTAAAAGCACATATAATCATCTCCCACATGAATATCATTGGCCATTGTAGTAATGTTTGAAATTCTCATGCTGCATGTGGGGGAACTCACCCACTCCTAGGAAGGAATTCTTTGCAGGGCTGGTGGTGATATTTCAGTATTTGCAATGTGTCCCATGTGGTGTTCAGCTCTGTGCCTGCTGCTGTTTTCCCTGACCAGTCTGGAGGGGTCTGGCTCAGACATGGTTCAGGACTGGGGTAGAGGCTGCACCCACAGGTGACCACTGTACACAGCTAAGAAGAGAACACCAAGCAGTTCCGTATAGCCTGGGTGGCTGAAGGGCTCTATGTGTGAAACAATTTTTCATGCTGCCACCTTTCAATACTTGTCCCTTTCTTGATCTTGCCAATAGCTACAGGAAACAAACTCATGCCAGTATTTAATGGAATACGAGCCTGCTCAAGAACCCCCAGTACAGAAGCTAATGATGCAGACTTAAATCTAGAATCCAGCATGATTAAAGCTATTAATGGAGAATCCATGTCTGCACTTCCTGTGTCGGCAGGATCATGGGACTTGATTTTTTTTCTTCCTTACCAAGAGGTGGTGCTCAGGTATTGGCGTGAAAAGGTACCACGAACCCATTTTCTGCAGTCTTCACGCCCATCAAGTTGTTTTTGTTTTTCTGGTGTCTTCTCTTGATGATGTATCCAGTCAGTCCAGGGAATCACGCACGATTCTCATTTTGAAGCAGGACTGATGATGGAAGCTCCACATGCTTGAGCATCAGCTCAAATTTTTGTTACTAGGCAGGTATTCAAGTCAAATATGTGTGGTTGCTTGCTGCTAAAACAGTACCTTCTTGCTTTTGGAGCCCAGAGTCTGCTGTTCAAACTGGTAAAACTGAAAGAATAAGCAAATGGCACCCACTTAGATGCCCAATCCCCATAAGAACACTAATTCAGCCGCCTGTTCATAAAATCCTGCTGTGGAAAAGCCCTGTTTCCAACAGCTATACTCAGATATTCATTAAGACCTCCGAGAGCAGCCACATTTAAAACTCCCGGAGAGCATACACAAAACTACTTCCTTGCCAAGAGAATGGTTTGAACTCCTTCTGCTGTTACAGCCTAAGATATTCACATTATCACACTATACCATGTAACCTGATCACAACAACTTTTACACCTCCGATACATCTTTATACATGGACAAATAACCCGAACAAAGAAGCTTATGTGGGAATGTGCACCCTAAACCGTTACCCAGTTTTACAATTAGCGAGACCAATGTAACGTGAACTATTTTCATGTCTTTTGGCGCTCTCTAGTGGTCAATAGTGGTCTAGCAGGGTAGACTTGTCAGCTGTCGGACGCCGGCTGTAAGAAAACTGCTTGTTTTTTTAGTTACCTCGACTGATCTGTTTTTCTCAGGCAAATTCAAAAGTAACTCCTGCAAGGTTAATATTGTATTGCTTTTTGTGCAAACCACAAAAGGGTTCAAACAATATAGGGGTCTTCAGCAAGAATACTGTTAATCAATGTGTAACGTGATTTGCAGGCCATTACATTTTGTAAATAAATTACCTCATCATAAAGCATATAACATACAGAATTTGACGTGCATTTGACAGAACTTCAGGGGGCGGCACGATGGTTAGCAGTACTGCGTTGGGGTTCACTTCTGGACCTGGGGTGCTGTCTGTGTGGAGTCTCTATGTTCCCCTCGTGACCCTGGTGTGAGTGGGTGTGAATCTGTGTTTGCCGTGTGATGTGCAGGTTTCCCGTCACCCTCTGTAGGGACCCCCTGCTTGTCTCGTGGGGCTCCGTTCCCTGACTGGGATAAAGCTGGGAGAATATGGATGAAGCTCCGGCAGTGCTAGGGGGTTTGAAACTTGGACCTGGAGAGCTATGATTTCAAATCCCGAGGGGGGTCGGGTGGGGGGATTCTAATTTTCAGTAAGAATCCCAGCACAACTGTACAACTGCCGCCTCAGATAAACTCATAGGCAAATTAAATGATAAAACCAATGTAACCAATCGAAATATTTTAGAACATAGTATAAATATTACCTATATAGCACGCTATAAGAATGTACAAAATGATACCATATGACCTCTATTATTACATGATTAAATTAATTGCATTAGATTCCATTTTTATGTAAATAGGGTATAAATAAAATCTCTATATATGACCTTAATCATAATCCATGTTTGTTTGAAACAAACCGCAAGTGCCTTTCTTACTCCAAGCTTGTGGTAAAAGTAGTCAGTAATCTACTTGCGCCAGCAAACTTTTTTAAAAGCTGTAGCACTATTCTGCTGTTTAGCTGCGTTGCATGAGAACACGTTCAACGGCATCCGGTGTCAATTAACTGATTGGAGTGCAGAGAACCTTGTTCCAAATAGACCAATCAGAGCAAGGCAGCCGGAGCGCATTCGCACCTGGGTCTAAGCCAGCAGGTCCGCTGCCCTGCCGTGTATAAATAAGAACCAGGGCAGCAGAAGTTATCGTCTGTGGTAGTTTTAACGCATCCTAGTTTTGAGTGTGGCGAAATGGGGAGCTTAACTAAAGCATTTTATGTGTTGGGGGTTGTGCTGCTGATGTGCAGCTCACTTCACGGCTACCGCTGGCGAACTCATCACAAGGACGTTCACATCCCGAAGCCCAGTTCTAAAGCCGGCGGGAGATTCCGCCTCGCTGGACACCATCACGGCCAAGCGCAAACCCGGGCTTCCCACTTCCTGCGGGGTGAGGGGAGAGCCGGCGCGGCGTCTAAGACCGTCACCGTGCAGTGCCACGAGGCCACCGTGGATATCACGGTCAGCGCCGACCTCTACGGCATCGGCACGCCCGTCCGCGCCGAGGAGTTGCGGCTCGGCCCGCTCTCGGCTGGCGGCTCCTGCGGCGCGGCGGCGGCCGGGTCCGGGGGCTCGTTCCTCATCCGCGCCAACCTGAGCGACTGCGGCACCGCGCTCTCGGTAAGAAACCGAAGTCCTAGGGCGCCGCACTGTGAGGGGCTACGGCTGAACTGAAGACAAGGGTGGGTCTTGGAATAGTAGCGGGTCCTTTGCGAATGCAGCTCCTGTGCGAGGAGGGTGAGGCACTGGAGAATGCGGATTCGGGCAGCGCTATGGTTCTGTTCGGTTGCCTTGCGCCGATGCCCTGGTATTCTCTAAAAGCTCGTATAGGCGCACTGTTGTTGCTGTCGGCTTCAGACTCGCGAGTCCACGCTGATCTCCTGTTCTGCTCCTAGTTTGTGGGTGAGCTGCTGATCTACACCAATCAGCTCTTCTACACGCCCGCCCCCTCTCCCGGTGGAATTATAAGGATGAACGGCGCAGTCATTCCCATCGAGTGCCGTTATGCCAGGTGGGTGGTGTTTGCTGGCCTGAACCGTAACGTCTGAGCTGCTTGCAGCCCTGAGTTTTAACCCACCCCTGGTCTTGGCATGATGGGTAAACTATCCTGAGTCTCCCGTTCATTCTTAGGAGATACAACGTGAGCAGCAATGCTCTGAAGCCAACCTGGGTCCCCTTCACCTCCACCAAGTCTGCAGAGGATGTCCTGGACTTCACTCTGACACTCATGAACGGTACTCTTTTTCTTAATGTGCTTCTGTGGATCCTGCTGGCCATTGGCAGAGGGGGATGTGCAGGAGACTTGACTTCACTCAAAGTACAAGTACTGTATAGGAGAGTTGAGTGTCCAGAAAAGCACTGTACATTACAGGTCAGGGAGGGGACTCCCCTCCTCTACCTGGATGATGCACCAGTACACTTGACCTGCCTCTTCTCTTGATGGGGAAGAGAACAGTAATGAAGTTGATCTATAGATGGCGATTAGGAAGCCATGATTGCTGTAAGTCAGGGGGGAATTTGGCCAGGTTTCTATTAATCAACCTAATCTGTCTGATTTAATGCAGATGACTGGAGCTCCAAGAGGTCCTCCAATGTGTTCTACCTGGGGGATGTCCTGAACATCGAAGCCTCCGTCACCCAGGCCAACCACCAGCCCCTTCGGCTCTTTGTGGACAGCTGCGTGGCCACCTTGGCCCCTGGCTGGACCTCCACCCCCAGCTACTTCTTCATTGAGAACTATGGGTGGGCATTAAATGTCACTAGTTGGCCTAAGCCCCAGTAGGTCAGGTTATATACCTTCTCCATGCCCACTTGCTGTAATTACAGGTGCCTGACTGATGCCAGAGTGACCGGCTCCAACTCTCAGTTCATGCCAAGGTCAGTGGACACCAAGCTGCAGATGAAGCTGGATGCCTTCAGGTTCCATCGGGATCCCCGGAGCTCAGTGAGTTTTCCAGCCTCTGTTCAACTGGGATCTGAGCTGGTGTGGCTTGGCTGTGAGCTTCTGGTCTGTTCCAGATCTACATCACCTGCCGCCTGAAAGTGGCTCCAGTCTCCCAGGTGGACATGAAGAACAAAGCCTGCTCCTATACTGGTGGGAGGTGGGTCTCAGTTGTCCATTGACTTGTTGATCTCCCCTGTGTGGATCCTCATGCAGTGTCTCTCCTAGGTGGAAGTCGGTGGATGGGAGCAATCAGGTCTGTGGCTGCTGTGATTCCAGCTGTGGGGATGGCTTCAGATCTCGGGCTTCTCTCCGCTGGAAGAGGGGGGACTCATCTAAGATCAGTGAGTTTTCCTTGTGCAACATCTGCTCTTGAGCTTGTTGCCACCATCTCTGGGGTGGAGATTGATGCCTGTTCTCTGTTGCAGGATCAGAGTGGGAGGGTGACTCTATGCTTGGGCCTCTGTCCATCATGGATGGGATACTAGACCTCCATTAGACACTCCAGCTTAAGAGTACCTGGATGTGTTTTGGCTCAACCAAGTACTTAAATCAATTTGCATTGAGGTTTGCCCCTTCCCCAATGTATCCAAGTGGCCTTCGTTTTGGCTGAAGGATGTCTTGCTGTGTCTTTATGCATAACCTTGTGTGTGTTATGTGCTAAATAAAAAAAAAATCATAATTAAAACTGGACTTCCCTTTTTTTTCTATATTAAGGAGTAAATTGGGGGTGTGATGGTATAAATGTGCATGTTTCTTTAGGAAATGTGAGGAACTTCATTTGCCCATAGATGTCTGAATCCTCTAGCTACAGGGCAGGCTGAAACTAAAGGCTTTTGACCAACAGTAACAGTGAGCCCCACTAAATATCTAAAGGCATCAATGGAATCTGGAGTATGTTACCTTAGAATAAACTCAACTACAAACAAATGTGGCAGAGCATCAAAACTGAAGCCCCAGCATTAGGTATGTAGGAGAACACAAATCTCCAAGTGACACTAGCATAGGCTTCTCCTGTTGAAAGGCTCTCTTAATAGCCACTCCATGTCATTTCTTGTGGAACCATATCTTCCATACAGAAAGTTTGGGTAGACTAAGTTGCAAAAGCAAGCTGGTAACTGGTAGGCTGGAGGAACTGGTTTTAAGGTAGTTTTATATTGGATCTGTTTGCTGTCCTACCGGACTGCAAATGGTCATGAGAGAGTGCGGTGGTGGAAGCTGTTAAACACTTAATGGTAGCCAAACTACAACAAGCCACTGTTGTGGGTTTCCTTAACATTCAGAATACTGATTCTGAGGATTCCTTGACTTCTCCAGTAGGTCTTCTCTGATCCAGATCTTCAGGAGTAGGTTATACCTGCATTTTGTGAACTGGTGCAGCAGTAAGAAAATGCATCTCTGGCATGAGAATGGCATCATGGGGGTTTTCCATCTTCTGATGCCTATTTTCTAGTTGCTGATTCCTGGTGAGGGGTGTAGTAATAGGCTGTGCCATACAGACCAGACTTCCCTTTCCCCAGCAACAGTCAATGCATTTTTATACAGCACTTGGCACAGGGTTGCCCTGTGGCACTTAACAGCTGTATGGCAATGCATGACATTACAATACAGAAAGGGGTGGGGGGAAGCAGAAGGGATGAGAGGAACCCAAAACTTCTCTGTAAGGAGAAAAACCTCTAGGGGCCCAAGGTCAATTGGCTGGCCAACCCCTCTGGGTATGCTAACATTATACAATTCTGAAAAAGTACTAGATGTGGAGTATTAAGTCTTCCATTGTGTCCTTCTGTGTGTTGGTACTCCATGTAGATCTCTGTAGACCAGCAAATCCTCCTAAACGATGGTGGTCTCCACAAAATCCCTCATGGATCAATGGCAGGGATGCAGCATCCAACTCCGATGGTGCCCAGCTTGGGCACCAGCTGGACATGAGTCCATGGATATAATCTCTCCAGTGTGTCATGGATCACCCATATACAAAGTACACTTCCGGTGGGAGGCCCAAAGAGTGACATCCTTACCAGATTCCTGAGCCAACTCAACTGGCTCCTCTTGATCTGGAGGAGCAGTGATACTCTTCCGGGGTTCTCCCAGACTACTGAGCTCCTCCCCCTGTCACAGAGAGCAATCCCAGTAACCCTCCAGAGAAACCTTGTTTCTGCAACTCATATCCGTGATCCCATTCTTTCGGTTGACAGCATAAGCTCCTGACCATCTGAATCCATAGGTAAGGATGAGGACATAGGCAGACCAGAAAATCAAGAGCTTCCCTACTGCATGCCCTCTTTACAGCACAACCATCTTAAAACTGAACTGCTACAATCGAGCCAGTAAGCTCCTTTAGGTTAAGTGCTCTTGGGAAGGAACACTGCAGACACACTGGGTGATCTGGGACATGATAAGTCTGCACTGCAGCAACAGGGCTGCTCTCTGGTCACCAGTCCTATGATCTTTCTAAATCGTAAAGAGACAGTAGTAGCTGGTAGATTAGTTTATAGACACCATATGCTTCTGTTAAGCAACATATCTACTCTTGAAAGGGGAACTGCAATGCTATTTTTAGGTTTTGGGGTTAGAAAGAATGGGAATTGATGAGTGCATTTCAAACCACTGTGAAAGTAAAATTACACAGCAACTTCTAAAACCTCCTATTTACATAAAAAACAGTATTTCCCAGTATGAGTAGTGTCATATTGCTATCATTGTCTGCAATTCAGAATAAGGAAACAAAACATCTCGTGAGGTAAAGCAGCCCTATTTCATTGCAGGTTTTTGAGTATATCTGTTCTAATCCAAAAAAAATATTTTTTTGATGGTTTTGCTAAAAAATTCTTACTTGTTAACTGCATCAGACTGGAACATTTCTGCAGTGAAATATCTGCTGGACAACCTGTTTTTAGGTGCCCGCCCATTGTATTACATTAGTCATTACAGTGACTAGTGAGCAGGAAGGACCACTTCATGTCACAATTCTCGTTAACTCTCGCTCTTGCCTGTGACGAGCTGAAGGCTTTGCAACAACAATGGTGAACCATGCAATACTTTCACTAAGCTTGTGATTTGTGAGACTCACATGGTCTCTCAATGCCCGCTGTCTGATCAAGAAAGTACAACAGCGCATGTACTTCCTAAGACGGTTGAAGAAGGCTATGTCCCAGATCCTCACTAACTTTTACAAATGCACTACAGAAAGCACACTGACAGGTTGCATCACAAGATAGAGAAAACCTTTAAAGGTTTAATATCAGAAATTATATCAAGGCAGGCTGGCACCGTGGGCAGTGGCAGGCATTGCTGTCTCGCAGTGCTGGAGTGTCGGCTTCACTTCCAGCAGTGCCATCTGCGTGGAGTTTGTATGTTCTCCCCATTTTGGGGTGGGTTTTCTCGAGATGCTCTAGTTTCCTCCACACATTCTACTCTCTGAGAAAATGGACTCTGGTGTGAGTGTGTGCATGTCTGTGTCTGTGTGTGCCCTGCGATGGACTGGTGTCCTGTCCAGGGTGTGAGCTGCCTTGCGCCCATTGCTTGTCAGGACAGGATCTGGCGCACAGCGACCCAGCTGCTAACAAACTCGTCTCTGTAACAGCCTGGCAGCTTTCAGTGTAGCGCAAATGACAGTGTGTGTTTTCTGTGGTAAACAGAAAAACAGTTTCAGGCAATGAGCGTCATTAATCTTTCTTCAATTGTAAAACACTTCGGCACACATCTCAATAAGGATGGCGGATGAAACTCGCGTCACATCGATAGTGTTACTGTACACAGATTAGGAGGAGATAATAGTTTCGGTTTCGACACCGATATTGAAAGAACAAAAGACGTCCATTTCGTCATTGTTCATGATGTCGCACACTCAGCTGTCTCTTTGCTCTCACGCAAACAGCGAAAACAACCCCCCCCAAAAAACAAAATTAAAAAGAAAACTGGACGTTTACGATAATAAAAGGTACGACAGTAGAATGATATAATTACTTTAATAAAGCAGTAGCTCCGAGATGTATATACAAGATCTATTAAACTGTGGCTCAATCGACAGATTGGTTCATTGATGTCGTGTTCCAATCAATCGGCAAATGATGTGAGGGAAAATGTTAGGGCGGAGGTGATTAGGAAGATAAAGCTGCAGTCGTAGTGTAGAGTAGTACAGTAGGAATATTCACTGGAAACAAGAACCAGTCTAGTCAGGAAAATTTTGTCTCCGCGGTCGTCCTCCACTTCAACTGCATTTCCACGGGGTTGATTCAATATCCTGTCCTCCTGCGTGTGAGCCGACAGAGTTCGGGTCCTCGTGAAAATCTTCACTCTGCGAACCTCAACGTCATCACGCGCGAAAGTCTCGATGGCTTTAAAAGGAAGGAGCTCGCAAAAAGCAGGTATCGTGGTTTTGCGGGTTGTTTTCATTTCAAGATGTGGTTTTCTAGTGGTCTCGCCTTTCGGCTGTTGACCTTGCTGTTCCTCGCACTTCTGTGTGACGCCCGCGCTAACGTCCAATCCGGCATCAGGCGCAAGGGGGTCGCCTTTCTGGACTCGCCTCTGCTGCCACGGCAGCAGAAGCAGCAGGTTATCCGGGCTGTGTCGGCGCAGTGCGGGGAGAGTACGATCGTGGTGCAGGTCAAGACAGACCTGTTTGGCACCGGGCAGCTGATCAATGCTTCGGATCTCAGCCTGGGAGACTGTGCGGTCACCCGGCAGGACACCGCGGCGCAGCTCCTGATCTTCGAGGCTGAGCTGCAGGCGTGTCGCAGTGTGCTGAGTGTAAGTGGTTCTGCCGTTGGGCAGCTTCGGGTTCTCGGCAGTTGGGTGACTGGATCTGTGATCTGTCTAGACCGTGGACGAGC